TTTTGTCATTTAATACAAACAGTCAGAGACATAAACTGTATCTTTAAACAACACGAGCATTTAGCAAATAATATAAACAAATATAAATATCCAGCTCAATTTCTGATTCCTGTCTAGTTCTCTTACACCCCTTTGATTGGTCACACCCTCAACAAAAACGGTTGCGTTTGGCTCTTGTGCGCTTGTGGCGGCAGCGGCGATCACAGATGATCCATGATAGACACAGTGGAGAAAACTCTGCAGACACGCACTCATTTCTGTATCCAGAAGTAACGCTGTAAAACAGCCGAGAGGAGGAGAAAAGTCACGCCAAGAGGTCAAAAGGGCCACTGTGTGTGTGTGTGTGTGTGTGTGTGTCTGTGTGCTTGAGAGAGAGAGAGAGAGAGAGAGAGAGAAATGGAGTACTTTCATTCTCTCGATCTCAGTGAAATAGAGGCTTTTACTGTAAATGTCAGTGAAAGACTGATCCAGCAAACACACACAGTGAAATTGTGCACAGTTTATGAGTTTTAAGTAGTTAAAGCGTTGTAAATATTCACGCTCGCCTCCCTCGCGACAGAGCGCATATGAGGTAAATGACGTCAGTAATAACCGGTTATAATTATTACTGAACCGATACCGAATTGTCCGCGTCTGCATCGCGGTGCACCAAAGAAACAATTAATTTTGACACCCCTACAGTCAACCCTTCAGGCCTCGGACCTGTCTCTCTGTGCCCCTTAAGAGGTAGCAAGAGGCATGGACCACTCTATGGTGGCGATGTAAGGGCATTTGTGGCTAAATCAGTCTGGTATCAAGGAAGAGGACAAACGCCTCTTCCTTGATGCCGCCATATCACACACTGGACTCTTTGGTGACTCAGTTGATCGAGTTGCCAAATTAGCGTGTGAATAAAGGTGGTCAAGCTCCTACAGGTTGGACCATCCTCAGCTGCAAGACATTTCATCTGCTCAGCACAGAGCTGAGCAGGAATGAGTGCGCTGTGTTTTGGCAACCAAAACAAAAAGCTAGTGGGTGACAGAAGGCAACGCTCTCAGGAGACCTGAAGTCTGTTTCATACAGATGGTCCATGGTCCTAGGACTATTGTTGTGAAACGTGGCTTTTCTAGGAAGTCCTTACAGTAGTAGGACTTTTGTGGATAACCAATTATCAGTACTGGATTCTTCCATTTGACCTAACACTCTCACCCCGCACGTTTACTGAGGTAGTCAGCGTGGCACTACTTCTGCTTTGGCTACAAAGGATTCATATTCTCAACTCTCAACAACTGGCTCATCCTAGCCTAGTTGAGGGTGTTAGTGATTCAACATCAAGGTGTTGTTCTCACTCACATAGAGAAGTTGGGGCTGCAGATAAACCTAAAGAAATAAGTACTTGTTCGAGTGCATGAACCACTTTTTAGTTGTATCATGTGACTCCACAATGGTGCATGCATGTCTGGCCCCTCCTGGAATCAAAGTTATTTGGTTAGCTGCAAAGGGAGTCAAGCTTGGCCAGTAAAGTTTCAGGGATTACTATGTCTTCTTGCAGCAGCCTCAAATGTGATTCCTTCTGTATATGAAGCCACACTAGTGTTGACTTAAATTTAAGGGGTTTTATCTGAGGGGGAATCCATTCCACATGATCAAGGTCTTGCAGCGTTACCTGTGAGCTTTGTCAATATGGAAGAAACCCTGGTTTCCGTCCTACGGTCCTCTGTTGGGAGCAATATATAATATAACAGGTGTCTCATCAAAGGCTTGGGCAGCGACCTTAAGGGGCATTTCCGCATCGGGCCAGTGGATGGATCATCATTTTCATTGGCAAATAAATTGCTTGGAGATGCAGCCTTAACTGTTGGCAGCCATTTGGCAGAGATTCGGCAAGGCTGGCGTTAATCTATTTGACTGTTAAGACACATGGCTCATTGTGATATTCCTTAACACATCCAGCACCACTAGGGGTCGATGCTATTGTGCAGACATAGTAGATGCTTTGTCTGTATGCATTTCCCCTGATTGCTCTGCTCCCAGGAGTCCGGGAAAAGGTCAGTCAAGAGGGGCTTAACCTATTATTGTTGTCCCATTAATGGCCCAAACGAATATGGTTCTTGGACCTAGTGTCTCTCCTCAACTGTTTCCCATGGGAGATTCTCATCCAGAGAGACTTCTTGTCTAAGGCATGTAGTGCATCCCCACCCACCTGGACCTGTGGAAGCTGTGGGTGTGACTTCTGAAGGGGCCTGCCTGGTAAATCTTGGACTGTCAACTAAGGGTGTACTCACACTATGTACAGTTGCCTTGAACCGGGCCAAAGCACGCTTGTCCTCCCTCCCGTCTCCCCCGACAGCCCGCAATCACATTACATTTGGGCCAGGGCACGCTTGCGTCATAGATGATGCGCTGTTCAGTAAGCGATTTCGCTCGGCACAGTGGAGATTTCTTTAGTTATGTCCATTTAGAAATGCAGTGACACGCAGTCAAATATTTTGCCGAACAGATCCGCCACTTTTGGCGCTCATTAATGATCATACAGTCCTCATGTTGCAAGAATTAGGAGGTTTGCTGAAGGTACAGTAAGGGGTTTGCGTCTTTAATAAACTATGACAGTTTGCGTTCATTGAGCAGCTTATTAATTAAGAATGATTAATTAATCCATATCAAAAGTACCTTAAAAGCCACGTCTCGCTTTCAATTTCGGGCTCAGGCAGGCTTTGCACTCACACACAAGCGTACCGTGCCAAAGCTCAAGTTAACTGTGCTCTGGCCCACCTCTTCCAACCGAGCCAGGGCCAGCCAACTGTACCGTGCTTGAGCCTGATTCAGAGCACTCACACTTCTCAAAGGATCCGGGAAATGGGCCTGGGCACGGTTCAGAGAGCATAGTGTGAGTACGCCCTAAGGTAGTGTGAGGCTGCTTGGAATTTGCAGATAGTGCTTTGGACCCTTTGAGGATTTGTCAGAAAAGTTTCTGACCCTTAGGACGGTTTTTCTGTTGGCCATTACATCCCTCAAGAGAGTAGAAGATTTACAGCCACTAGCTTCCTCTTGTTTGGAATTCTCACCTGTTGTCGTGAGAGCATTTCTGTACCCCAGGGCAGGATATGTTTCAGGGTCTCCACTGAGGTGGTGCAACCTACTGTGCTGCAGGCCTTTAATCCTCCTCCTTTAATGACACCAGATGAGGAGTACTTAAATCTGTTTTTCCCAATGCAGGCTCTAGAATCGTAAGTATATCGCACATCTGGATGGCATATTAAATTATGGCATGTTTGGAATAGCATTCCCATTGTGTCTCCTAAAGAGAGACCCAGCACAAGTTCCCTAAGAGGGAACGTCTCATGTTATGCATGTTACCATGGTTCCCTGAAGGGAACAGATGGCTGCTTCACTTTGCCTTACTTTTTCATGCCTGGTGCACTTTATTCGAGAAATTACATTGGATTGATTTCACCTGTGCTTCAGGAGGTTATAAGAGAGGGATTGGATTCCATTGTGTTTCCTAAAAAGAGACACGGCTTTTCATCTCCTTCAGGCAACCATGGTTACATGAACTACACTTCACTTTTTTTATTTATTTATTTATGAATAAGAGCAAACCTTAATATACTAAACATATGTAGAAGAAGAGTGTAAACAGTGCATTTCTGTGTAGTATTTACAGTACAGAGTTTTATACATATTTATCTCTCTCAGTGCTATCGAAGCAGCAGCTAACCGCGTCTTCATGGCGGCGAAGCTGTTTGTTCACCTGTTCCTCCAGCGGGAGGCATCTCTGCAGCAGCGGATCCAGGATCTGCGAGCGTTAGCGGATGCAGCGGACACTTTCCACAAGCGTACGGTGACTGCAAGTGTGGGAGGGGGGGTGGCGAGTGTCGCAGGCAGCATCACCACGATCACCGGACTGGTCCTGGCACCCTTCACCTTCGGCACCTCCTTGATTGTAACGGCAGTAGGCATTGGTGTGGCGACCGCCGGAGGAGTCACCTCTGCCTCAGCCAACATCACCGACACAGTCCACTCCAACACCGACCGCAAGAAGGTGGAGAAGATGATCCAGGACTATCAGGGGGAAATACACGACATCAAAGAGTGCCTGGACTTCCTGCAGGTCAGAGGTCATTCTACATTCGTACCAAATGCGTTTATCCAATGTGCTACTTTTTATATTGTTTTCTATTGTAAACGTGCTTGATGGACATGTGTGACCATTACACTCGCGTCTCAAGTGTTTAAATGATAATAATAATACTAAAGTGAAGCCCATTAGTCACTGGGAATTAACATTTTATGGCGTTTTTGTGCAGGCCGGTATGGAGACTCTGGAGCAGTGGGACTTCGAGCAGTACGTGAACAGCATCTCCAGCAAGGCTCTGAACCAGAATGTAAAGCACGTGTTGAAGGAGGGCGGGAGAGCCGGAAAAGCTCTCCTGGTGAACACCGAGAGCCTGATAAACACGGTTCAGGTGCTGAGCGTAGCCGGAGGAGCGGCCAAAGCAGCGCAGGTCATCAGCGTCACCAGCGGGATCATGTCCGGACTCTTCCTAGCACTCGACCTCTTCTTTCTGGCTCGCGGGTCTATGGAGCTACGCAGCGGAGCCAAGACGGAGTTCGCCAAACGCATCCGGGAGGTGTGCGGAGAGCTGGAGGAAGGCCTGAAGGAGCTGCGCAGAATCCAGAGCCAGCTTGAGAAAACCATGAGTGGAGTGCAGATCCAGGAGGAGGAAGACGAAGACGAAGAAGAGCAGTCAGAACTGAACACTGAGGAATGAACGGTATCACTTTAGTGCATATCAATCAGATCTATTGTTTAGTAGTCAGTGCACTGATCAGGGAATCAGACATTTTAAGTGCTGCATCAATTGCAAAATTCTTTCAGTGAGCTTAAACGTGTCCTGAAAAGTCCCACAATGCACTGTACAAATCCTCGATACACACTATGCACGCTTAATGGAAGTTCGGAAGCGCAAAACATGAATCAGGTGAACCATCATCAAACGTCAAATGAGAGATGTTGTCATGAAAATAAATTATTTATTTTTATTTAACATAGCTGTTGTCACGATACTGAATTTTGGTACCAGATACAGGTACCCTGGAGTGTTTTAAAGCTGTGAAGATCCGCTGGTCTGTTTATGAGCTGACATATGAGGATCCACTGATGAATCGACTGTTCTTTAGTGCTTTAAAACCCCTCAGTGTCTCTAGATACACTTAGTAAACAGCGGTGAGTTTAGTGAACTGATGACCGTCAAAGCCAATCACAGTCATTTCTGTTGAGCACTTGAACACAATGGCAAATCAATGGTGTTTAAGAACGCGCTCAACAGCTCAAATGTTAGCGGGAAATAGATGCTTATTTTCAAGCTCAGTATTGATCGGTACCGAATTCCAGTATTGGCAACACTAAGCTAGACAGGTGGTCACACTTTATTTTGATGGTCTGTTTGTTGAATTTAAGTTACATTGCTACTAATTCTCACTAGATTATAAGTAGACTGTTAGGTTGGGGTTAGGGTCAGTGTAAGTTGAAGTGTACTTGTAAAGTTTCTTATAATCAGTTTCAAGAGTTCACCCTTAAGCCTGGTTTATACTTCTGCATCAAGTGACCGGCGTAACTCATGGTGCAGGCAATGCACGCAGCTGTGCATTTATACTTCTGCGCGCTGTCTCTGTTGCTCTGCATAAACACTTCCGAAACGCTAGTTGGCAGTGAGGTGTAAATGTTCCGCTGTGTCGAGTTTCTTCGCTTCTGTTTTGGTTTTCCTGAACACTTCCTGGTTGTACAAGTGGCTCAAACTCGCTCATTTTGAGGCAGGAACCGGCAGACGTGCAACAACTTTAACTATGAGGTAAACACAAAACAAAACTTTCCATCCGGAGCTCCTTCACGGGACTCCACACTTGTAAACAATCGCTCTCGGTCCCGCCCAGACTCGTCAGCGCTACCAAGCCGACCAATCACAGAGCTTGCGCTTCGCGTTGTTGCGACGTGTAGTTTTATTTTTTGAGAGGTGCATGTCAGTGCGAAGGGTGAAGGGCTATGCGTCAGCGCCGTAGCATACGCCGGTGTTTGACGTAGAAGTATAAATCAGCCTTTAGCTGGTGATTGATCATAAAGTGTGTTTGGCATGCTGTCACGGGAGAGAGCCCTGTGCTCATGAGATCCTCGAGTCTGGGGCTCTCTCCCGTTGTAGGGGAGCTTGAGCTCAGGTAGGTCTTGAGAACTCCCCTGCTTGACATGGTATTTAGGAATTATGAATTACTGTGGATAGATATGATGCCGATTTAGTGCTCTTCTATGGTGTCAATTTGGTTTGGTCAATTTACTTATGTCACAATTCTTGCCTGTGGGAGGAAACTCCACACGAGCACAGGGAAAACATGTAAACTTCACATAGAAATGTCGATTTGGCCAGGTAAAGACTTAAGAGTAGCGGTGGAAGGGGGGATTTTTCAACACGAAGATGGCTTAGGTAAGACACTCTGGTTGTATATAGTGAGTTAGGCTTCGTCTGATTGGTGGAGCATACTTTAGCTAATGCGGGACCGGCTGCACCCAATCATGAGCACATTGGAAACAATCTCGCAAACAATGGTTGAAATGTTGCTGGTATATGAAACAATCATAACCTTAAGCCAAAGGAAAATGAATGAATGCATTTCATTCACTCCAATTCACAAGCATGTGCAAGTGCCTTTCCATCTGTCTCCCTATTAAAAGCCTTTTAATGGAAACAAAAAATAAATTAACCCTAACCTAACGACTTACTAATACTCCAATAAGAATTAGTTGCAATATAACTTAAAATCAACAAAATGGGTTAAAAGGACCATCAAAATAAACTGATACTGAATAATGTAATTAATATATATTAATTAATAATATATGTTAATAAATAATATGTATTAGCAACAATAAGTGGCGACAAAAAATGCCAACAAAACTAAATAAGAAATGACAACAAAAAATATGTACATTAAAAAAAAAGTTTATTATAATTAATTATTTAGGCAATAATTGCTAATGAGCTGTTAAATTATTAAAGGTGCACTATAGTTGAATTTGACAACAAGACCCGCCCCTTTTTGATATCTCCACTATAAATACTAGACTGCTAATTAACTCAACTGTGCTTTTCATCCAAAGATATAATTTATATTAATGTGCAAAACTGGAATCTGGCTCAGAACATCTGCGGATAAAGCAGCGTTTCCAATCAATGAGTCAAAGAGGACAAAATTGTCCCTTCCTGATAAACTGGAGCAAATATCAGACAGAGAAGTGGAAATTGCTGGTTAGGGGAAGCCACTGTGCTCTTTTTTTCTTTCATATTCTTGTCTTTTATTTGATGCAGAAGCTGTTTTTGATCATAATATTACAGTATACTGATTTCTGATCATGATAATGACACAACACTTAAGCAATAAGTAATGATGCTGAATACTCAGTATACAACACAGAAATAAATGACATTTTCAGTGTTTTCAGGCAGAAAACAGCACTTTTAAATCCTTTATTTTTTCTTGACTGCTGTTTAAACAGTTTTTAAGCATTAATTAAATCCTTGATCATTAAAAGAAAATAGAACCTTTCACTGCTATAGTGTATATATTTATATTTCTACTATTTCCCAAAGATGATAAGACTGTTTAATTCAATATTAAGTCTGTTACATCAGAGGTCAGACGTTTCTGCTGAATAACAGCAATGGTAGATGAGTAACTGCAGTATCTTGTGTTTATATCCTGTTACATGAATAATGTGGTGCCATTATTATGTCTGTGATCATTTAAAATTGCTGCCTTATTTAGAACTGCTTTGATTTGCTCATTTATTTAGTATTTTAGTCTGTAAATGCTCAGGGATTAGGATCATGACTGGTCTGTTTGTCCTACATTTCAGCTAGTTCTGTGTGCGCCCACTTCAGATTCTCTCAGCAGGGCTCATTCCACAGAAACCTCATTCACTTTTTTCCTTCTGCCTCCACTAGAGGGCAGAAACATCTTCTGAACCCATGAACAGCAATATTCCCCCAGTCTATTCTTTAAACATCATGTATTGTGTATCTAGATCAGAACATGTCATGTATATTTGTTATGAAATTCCTCCCTATGAATGATTGCAGCAGATGAATAAGCCATTGTTGTTATTATTTACTCGTACATTATATAATGCAGAACATTCAAAGCAACTATTGTCATTTGTGGTAAATACTGTGGTGTTTTTGATCCACACTATAGTAAAGCTCTTGAATTAATCTGTTGTGTTAATTCTATTGTTGAAATGGAAACACAACTACTACACTACCTGATGAAAGTCTTGTCGTTGATCTCAGTTGTAAGAGCAACCAATAATAACTTGACTTCTGTGTCAGAAGGTGGATTTCATCTGTTGATCTCCATCCCAATCATCACCAATACTGCAGAAGACCTACTGGAACCCAAATGGAGCCAAGATTCTCACGGAAATCAGTCAAGTTTGGTGGAGAAATCATGGTTTGGGGTTCATTCAGTATGGGGGCGTCCGAGAGATCTGCAACATCAACAGCCTGAGGTATCAAGACATCTGTGCTGCCCATTACATTACAAACCACAGGAGAGGAACAATTCTCCAGCAGGATAGCGCTCCTGCTCATACTTCAGCCTCCACATCAAAGCTCCTAAAAGCAAAGAAGGTCAAGCTGCTGCAGGATTGGCCAGCCCAGTCACCAGACATAAACATTATTGAGCATGTCTAGGGTAAGATAAAGGAGAAGGCGTTGAAGATGAACACAATACTGCACATTATTTCTGTTCAGTGATGAGACTTTAGTCTGAGCAGAGTCAGACCTTACTGTCTTAATCAAATCATTAATAATCAAGGCATGATCATATTTTATTGTGCTCAAATAAGCAAAATCCAGAGGCCTTTGCCTTTCATAGAAGACACTTCTGACACCAAATCATCAACTCGAAGTCTAGCTATTATTTGTTCTTCCTAAAGCTTGAATAAGTGACTTGTATATTATAAACAAGTATGTTATTATAAACAAATGACCCAATACTGTAGTTTTCTACAACTATAAGCTAAATTATACTACATCACGGTTTACTGTCGAAAAAAAAAACAGTAAAAAAAATTCTGGAGCATTTATTTGCAGAGTTACTATAAAATATGCAGTTTTCTAGCCTTGTCTATTGTGTGGTTCAAAGACACTGCAGTGTTTACTAAAGGTTACTAAAGTTTAAATTTTTTTTTATGTGGGACGTTATATTTATATGGGACATTGCCGTTGTGTGTTTCATGAGTCCAATCAAGATTCTCGACAAAAAAAAAAAGGTTTCATCTTTTCAGCTGCTGTTCAGTTCAGTATTAGTGAATATCTCTCTTCATGTGATCATGTCAGTATGTTACTGGTCAAATTCATGTTTAGACATAATAGTTTTAATCATCGGTTATTTCTAATGACGGTTTTTTTTGTCTCTGTCATGATGACAGCACATGATATTGCACTAGATACTATATTCAGCTTCAAGTGACATTTAAAGGCTTAATATGGGCAATCAGGCAAGTCATTAGACTATATGTGTGTTTTTTTTCTGTAGAAAACTGAAAAAATAAACGTTTAAAAAAAACTTAGTATTGATCTGTCTGTCTGTCTGTCTGTTTTTCTATCTGTCACACTGTCTGTCTTTCAATATGTGTGACTGTCTCTTTCTATCTGTTAGACTGTCTGCCTTTCTATCTGCGTGTCTGTCTGTCTGCCCGTCTGTTTGGCTTTCTGTATGTATGTCTGACCATTTTTCTCTTTTTCTGTCTATCTGTTTGTCTGTCTGTCTGTCTAAATGCCTTTTTATCTGTCTGTCTTCTCTGTGTGACTGGCTGTCTTTCTCTCTGTCTATTTGTCTGCCTGACAGTCTGCCTATCCTTCTATCTGCCTAACTCTCTGTCTGTCTGAGTATTATCTATCTGTGTGTCTGTCTGTCTGTCTTTCTGTAAAACTATCTGTCTGATCGTCTGTCTCTATAGCTGCCTGTT